GAAACCCTCAGGTCCTCCTGGGTCCGGGGCTTGCCGCTCAACAGCGCCGCCCTGGTGGTGGGCTCCGGGAGGACGCCCGCTCTCATGGGTGTTGACTGAGAGCGCGGCATCTGTGTCCCTCCCCCTGCTGCGCTTTGTGGGCAGGCGTATCTATAGGGGATTGCAGGAGCTCAGTACTAAATGATATTGTGCACTTTACCCTCTGAGCTCTGCCACTCTGACACTGGTAGCTTTGCAAAGTACAGTTACAAGCGAACAATTTGCACAGCGTGTCGGAAATGGATAAAAAGTAACAGCTACTATTTTAAAATCCTTTACTCGACGGATCAAATGGGGACACACGTGACATTTCCTCCGGGTTACACTGCCCCCGGGGTAGCAGCACGTCCTGCCGGTGCTGTCGGCTGGTTCTCTGCAGTGCTCGGGCGTGGCCACTAGATGGCAGTGTTGTATCTTGGCGCTACAATACTCCTACCTGGTTCTGCAGCCTCTTGCAGGCGTTACGCAGCTGGTAGAGACTCGGGTCCGGTCTTGTTGGACCGGGAGGACAGCTGGTCCGGCGGTTCAGGTCCAGTCCTGTTAGACCGGGAGGACAGCTGGTCCGGCGGTTCCGGTCCAGTCCTGTTAGACCGGGAGGACAGCTGGTCCGGCGGTTCCGGTCCAGTCCTGTTAGACGGGGAGGACAGCTGGTCCAGTGGTTCAGGTCTGGTCCTGTTAGACCTTGTTAGTTTAAATCTCCCAGCTATTTATTTACTGCCCAAGCAGAATATTAGAGGATGGTATACGTTCCGTTAAGGTGTGGGGGTGTCATGGTGGCATGGTTAGATTCAGCTTTCAGATGTCTGTGTGGAGTTTGCATGGTCCCCCTGTTCATGTGCTCTGGTTTCTCTGCCTAAGGCTGCTTTTGTGGTCTCAATTTTCATTGTCTCCAAGGCAGTGGACTAGATGGGGGGGCAGCCATGGGCACTGTGCATCCGGGCTGGGCTCCAGGTTGCCATGGCAATCATCCTTTCGAAGCTGCTCCTGATAATGGAGGAATGGAAAGCAGCAGCACAGGGGAGGCGGGGGGGGTGGGTGGGACAAGAAGGCTGATGATGCAAGTCACCTCCGAAGAGGCGTGATTGTCCAGGCAACAGCAGACCTGGCTCATGCGCCAATGCAGACAGGGTATGTACAGGCGCTCGCTGGCAGAAGACGAAGCAGTGAGCTGCCGAGCGCCCCTCCTGTGGATCTTGGGCAGCTGCTGCTGGTGTCTCCCGGCGAACCCCAGGTAGACCTACACAGCCGCCGCTGGCGTCTCCCGGCGCTCCCCCGTTGCCCCTGCTCGCCCTGCCCCGGCCCGACTGCGCGTGCAGAAGGTGGGGGTCGGGACGGTATTCACCGGCAGCCGCAGGGTGTCTTGTGCGAGATCTGCGTGCTATCCGTTTCCTGCGTTTCCCGAGGCTGGCCAGCGAGGTGTGTTCACAGGATCGGGATCCGGCGGCGGACAGTGACTCGGGACGCGTCGCTGGAAGCTCTTCGGCGGCGGGCTGTAGCTCAGACGGTCTTTTCCCCCCACGCCGAGGACGGGCAGGGTACAACGTCGGACAGGACGCCACTCCATCACAGGACACGCACGCTAGGGACAGTTTTCCCAGAAGTCAATTAACTTACCAGCCTGCCTTTGGGACTGTGGGAGGAATCCCACGCGAACATGGTGGGGGGAACACGCAGACTCCACACAGACAGCGCCCCAGCACGGGGGAAGGGGGGTGCCGGAGCCACGGGCGTGACGAGAGAGAGGAGTGGGGGATCCACGGACACCGGGGCGTGATGGTACCAGACGCTGTAACCTGCAGCACCCGGAACCAGGCCGGAACCACAGGGACTGGGCCAGGGCAGCTGTTCCAGTCCTGATACTCCTGTTCTGATCCAGTTACTGGTG